ATATAACTGATATTAACACATTCATAGAAAACGTTGAAAGATAAATTGACAACATGCCCATGCACTCCGCCCCTGGTCCTGACTCGTGGAATTCAATATTGACAACGAAATATAAAGTACCAGTAGCAGGAGCACTCAGTGTAGGATGGTGGGCAGGCTTGGATATAACGGAGGCTCCACAAGCACTTACAGCAGCAAATATACCTAACACAACGTAGGGAGCCGGTCGGCCGAGCGGACAGCATGCTGGACTTTTGATCCTGTGGTTCCGGGTTCGATCCCGGGTGTCGGCGAGAAACAATGGGCAGAGTTTCTTTCACCCCTATGCCCCTATTACCTAGCAGTAAAATAGGTACCTGGGTGTTAGTCAGCTGTCACGGGCTGCTTCCTGGGGGTGGAGGCCTTGTCGAGGACCGGGCCGCGGGGACATTAAAGCCCCGAAATCATCTCAAGATAACCTCAAGGTAGTAAAGCTTTGACAAAAAATTATATACCAGTCACATTAACATCACACATAATATAAAATGTTGAAAGAGTGAGTAGGAATCAAATCTCCAGTTTTATGGAGGACAATGAACTCACAACACAGGACAACATGGAGTTCGAACGAGATCTAGTCATTAGCAAATACTCGACCATAATGATAAAATCATGGAAGAATAACAAGAAAAACAAAATGCAAGTGTGGTATGCACAAACTTTGTAAAAACATTGGCTAAGTGTGACCATTGAGTAATGGCCCATTATATGAGATCAATGGGAATGACAGGTAATGTTGGTCGTTGAATTGTCAACTTTCTGTCAAACTGAATGCAGTGAATCAAAACAAATAACATCCAAGCCCAGTGAAAAGCTGTGAATCACAGAGCTCCGTGCTTCCACCACTGCTTTTTCTGATTCTCATATTAGATATGAACAACAATACTAGCCAGAGCTTCGTGTCGTCTTCCGCAGGCGATACAAAACCCAGCATGAAAATTACCTCTGTAGAAGTAAAACAGCAAGTCGATATTAATATAGTATTCGGTTGGGCAACGGAAAACATCATATTCAACAGTGATAAGTTCCAGGTACTTATGTGAGGTGGAACCGAGGAGCTTTAATTATTATTATTAACATCTTTATTGACAAAATTAATTACAATTTTGCCTAATCTGAGGATTTCGAGTAAGACTTATTAAAGTGAGGATAAATGCTGGTATTCACTGTCACGCAGGACAGAGGGTCATACACAAGTCAATAGGTCTAAACTGTAGGCGGAAGTACATATATATCATGGTTACAATCAATGTTTTAATGTATGGATATGTGAAAACAACTTTCTATTGTGCACTGCCACACAAGGGCAGGGATGTGCACTGCCACACAAGGGCAGGGATGTGCACTGCCACACAAGGGCAGGGATGGGTTCATAAGTGATGCAGCTTAGAAGTAATATAAATAAAAATTGTTCTTCATTCTTTAAAATGGACAAGCAAATTTTGGATAAATTGTTAGGATGTCGTCCAGAACACCTGAAATACGTGGTACAAGACGCAGTCAGACTTACCCATAGAAGGATAACATGTAAAAGATCTGAGAATTATGTCTGACGACCTGACATTTAGTGAACATAACGAAGCAAATATAGCGTCAACCAGGACAACGATAGGATAGATTATGAGAGCGTTCAAATCCTGGTATCCCACCGCAATGCAAATCCTGTTTAAATCACTGGTGCTGTCTCATCTTGAGTACTGATCGGTACTCACTTACCCTTTCAGAGCAGGAAATTTTTATGAAATAAAGGAAATGCAGAGAACATATACGGCACGTATAGACACGATAAAGTACGTAATTTATTGCGACCATCTCGAAGGTTTCAAAATGTACTCCATGGAAAGGAGACAGGAGAAGTATTAGATAATATATACACGAAAGATACTGGAGGGCCAGGTCCCAAAATTTACACAGTAAAATAACAATAAACTGGAGCGAAAGGTACGGAAGGAAATGCAGAATAGAACCAGTGAAGAGTAGAGGTGCCAATGGCGCAATCAGAGAACACTGAACATCAAAGGTCCCCAGCTGTTCAATACTCTCCCAGCATGCATTAGAAATATTGCTGGAACAAAGGTGGACTTCTTCAAAAAGCATTTAGACAGGTTCTTGCAAGAAGTGCCGGAGCAACCAGTCTGTAGTGGACATGTGGGCCTGCGGGCCCCTCCATACACACGCGGTCCCCATAACACCGGGGTCCCCATAACACCGGGGTCCTATAACACCGGGGTCCCCATAACACCGGGGTCCCCATAACACCGGGGTCCCCATAACACCGGGGTCCCCATAACACCGGGGTCCCCATAACACCGGGGTCCCCATAACACCGGGGTCCCCATAACACCGGGGTCCCCATAACACCGGGGTCCCCATAACACCGGGGTCCCCATAACACCGGGGTCCCCATAACACCGGGGTCCCCATAACACCGGGGTCCCCATAACACCGGGGTCCCCATAACACCGGGGTCCCCATAACACCGGGGTCCCCATAACACCGGGGTCCCCATAACACCGGGGTCCCCATAACACCGGGGTCCCCATAACACCGGGGTCCCCATAACACCGGGGTCCCCATAACACCGGGGTCCCCATAACACCGGGGTCCCCATAACACCGGGGTCCTATAACAAACCGTAATTATAAAACATTTATATTATGAGTGAAAAATGATGCATTTTAAGCAGTTTTTGAGGATGGAAGTCGCCGATAATTTTGGAATGATATGAGTTTTTTTTAAGGGTGATGGGGGGGGGGGTGAGGTGAGGGTGTGGGGGAGGGGGATGTTGTGTAATGGAGAGTGACGAGGCCTGGAGATATCAGGGAGATTTGTGGCAATTGAATGATATTGAATTTAAACTGAATAATTGTTCTAATCTCTCTCTCGTACCTCTTAAGCAATCACGCCAGGTGTGTGGTGGAACACACACCTGGTGTGTTCCACCACACACCTGGTGTTTTGGAGCACACACACACACCTGGCGTAGTAGTGTGCCCCTATAACACACAGCGCCCTATAACTCAACGCAGTATAATCCCGGGTCGAGCGTAATCTATCAGATAAGCGGCGGAGATATTATCGTGGGTACTAGCCAAGCGCCCCTCCCCTGCCACCCTCCCCTTCCCTACCACCCTCCCCTTCCCCTACATGGGCAGGACCCCTTGGGCAGGGGAGGGTGGCAGGGGCGGATGTTATGGGGGGAGGGGGATGAAAGACGGCATAGGAGGGTAGGTAGGTAGGGGGTTTCAGGGGGAGGTAGAGAGGGGGAGGGGGAGGGGGAGGTAGGGAGGTGGAGCTAGGGAAGGGGGAGGGGGACGTAGGGAGGGGGAGGGGGAGGTAGGGAGGGGAGGTAGAGAGATGGGGGGGATGGGAAAGTTTTGGGGTAAGAGAAATGTTGAGAAATTTGTAGCTAAAACGTTTGTGTGTGAGAGAGAGAGAGAGAGAGAGAGAGAGAGAGAGAGAGAGAGAGAGAGAGAGAGAGAGAGAGAGAGAGAGAGAGAGAGAGAGAGAGAGAGAGAGAGAGAGAGAGAGAGAGAGAGAGAGGAAGGGAACTATCAGGGGAAAGCGTCAAGCCATTACGACTATATAGCACTTGGAAGGTATCAGGATATGGATTTGGCATTGAAATTGAAATTGAAATTCTAATAAGTTTATTGAGGTATAAATACACACAAAGGATGAGGTAGTTCAATCTATTCTCACCCCGTTCGCGTTCATATATATATATATATATATATATATATATATATATATATATATATATATATATATATATATATATATATATATATATATGGTGCCCAACCACCTGGACGGTCGGGGATTGAACGCCGACCTGCATGAAGCGAGACCCGTCGCTCTACCGTCCAGCCCAAGTGGTCGGACGAGAAAGAGACAGAGAGAGATTAGTAAATCAAGAACAGAAAACAAGATAAAAGTTACTCAGAAAATTAATGGGTGGTGGTAGGGAGGTGGGGGAGAGGGTGGTGGTATATGGGTGATGAATCAGGGGTGAGTAGGGGGGAGGGGAGGGGTTAAAGGGAGGGGGTGAAGGTCCCCTCCCACTTCCGCTCACCTGGAGGGAGTTTCCCACGGTGGGCGGCCCACGGTGGGCGGCCCACGGTGGGCGGCCCACGGGGGCGGCCCGGGGCGGCTGGCTGGTCGGCCGGCCGCGGACTTGATCCCAATAAAGATTACAGCGATAACAGCGCTAATACTGACACTATTAATAGTAATACTTGTTCATAATAGTAACTTAGAGAGGCACTGGAGACGATAGCTGTCATCCACACACACACACACACACAGGTTATCGTGTTATCGTTGTGTGTGTGTGTGTATCTGTGTCAACACCTCCTGCTCTCTACTGCTCACTAAATAATAATGTGAGTAGCTATATATATTTTCTATCGCTACAAAACCTTAACTAATCTTAACCTAACCTAACCTAACCTAACCTAACCTAACCTAACCTAACCTACCTTAACCTAACCTAACATAACTATAGGTTAGTCTACACTAATCTATACTACCCTCCTTACCTACCCTAACCCAGCCTAATCTAACCTACCCCCTAACATAACATAACCTACCCTAACCTAACCGATCCTAAGTTACTCTAACTTACCCTAAGCTGCCCAAAGCTACCCTAAGCTTTCCTGCCCCTCACGTACCCTAATAACTTACCCTAACCTACCCTAAGCTACCCTAAACTACCCTTATCTACCCTAAGATTAACCTAACGTAGCAATGGCTTTGAATAATAATAATAATAATAGTAATAATAATAATAATACAAATAAGGAGAAAAATATACTACCTTTATAAAAGCAATAGTAACATTAACGACACTTTTAGACAGACAGACAGACAGACAGACAGACAGACAGACAGACAGACAGACAGACAGACAGACAGAGAAAGGGTGGATGGGTAGCCAAATCACTTAACACTCAAGTATTTTATTTTATGTTCTGAGTGGCACTTAAGGAGCAGTTGCTCCCTCCTGATGGAAAGCAGACATGCAGGCGGCTTGTCCCGGGACACTTAGCAGACAACTGGACATGGGGGCGTGCTGGACATGGGGGCGTGCTGGACATGGGGGCGTGCTGGACATGGGGGCGTGCTGGACATGGGGCGTGCTGGACATGGGGGCGTGCTGGACATGGGGGCGTGCTGGACATGGGGGCGTGCTGGACATGGGGCGTGCTGGACATGGGGGCGTGCTGGACATGGGGGCGTGCTGGACATGGGGCGTGCTGGACATGGGGGCGTGCTGGACATGGGGGCGTGCTGGACATGGGGCGTGCTGGACATGGGGGCGTGTTGGACATGGGGGCGTGCTGGACATGGGGCGTGCTGGACATGGGGGCGTGCTGGACATGGGGGCGTGCTGGACATGGGGGCGTGCTGGACATGGGCGTGATGGACATGGGGGCGTGCTGGACATGGGGGCGTGCTGGACATGGGGGCGTGCTGGACATGGGGCGTGCTGGACATGGGGGCGTGCTGGACATGGGGGCGTGCTGGACATGGGGGCGTGCTGGACATGGGGGCGTGCTGGACATGGGGGGCGTGCTGGACATGGGGGCGTGCTGGACATGGGGGCGTGCTGGACATGGGGGCGTACTGGATATGGGGCGTGCTGGACATGGGGGCGTGCTGGACATGGGGGCGTGCTGGACCTGGGGGCGTGCTGGACATGGGGGCGTGCTGGACATATGGGCGTACTGGATATGGGGCGTGCTGGACATGGGGGCGTGCTGGACATGGGGGCGTTCTGGACATGGGGGCGTAATGGATATGGGGCGTGCTGGACATGGGGGCGTACTGGACATGGGGCGTGCTGGACATGGGGGCGTGCTGGACATGGGGGCGTGCTGGACATGGGTCGTGCTGGACATGGGGCGTGCTGGACATGGGGGCGTGCTGGACATGGGGGCGTGCTGGACATGGGGCGTGCTGGACATGGGGCGTGCTGGACATGGGGGCGTGCTGGACATGGGGCGTGCTGGACACGGGGGCGTGCTGGACATGGGGGCGTGCTGGACATGGGGGCGTGCTGGACATGGGGGCGTGCTGGACATGTGGGCGTGCTGGACATGGGGCGTGCTGGACACAGGGCGTGCTGGACATGGACATGGGGGCGTGCTGGACATGAGGGCGTGCTGGACATGGGAGCGTGCTGGACATGGGGGCGTGCTGGACATGGGGGCGTGCTGGACATGGGGGCGTGCTGGACATGGGGGCGTGCTGGACATGTGGGCGTGCTGGACATGGGGCGTGCTGGACACAGGGGCGTGCTGGACACGGGGGCGTGCTGGACACGGGGGCGTGCTGGACATGGGGGCGTGCTGGACATGGGGGCGTGCTGGACATGGGGGCGTGCTGGACATGGGGGCGTGCTGGACATGGGGGCGTGCTGGACATGGGGGCGTGTTGGACATGGGGGCGTGCTGGACATGGGGCGTGCTGGACATGGGGGCGTGCTGGACATGGGGCGTGCTGGACACGGGGGCGTGCTGGACATGTGGGCGTGCTGGACATGGGGCGTGCTGGACACAGGGGCGTGCTGGACACGGGGGCGTGCTTTACATGTGGGCGTGCTGGACATGGGAGCGTGCTGGGCATGGGGGCGTGCTAAACATGGGGCGTGCTGGACTTGCAGAGGGGAGGGATGCACGCACACACACGCGTGCGCACACGCTGGACACCCGACAAAGGGGCGAGGTCGCTCGGGTGAAGATAGAGTAAAGCGGCCGCCGTGCCCACACGCTTCGGCGCACACGCGTCCGTTCGCCCTCCAGATAACCATCAAGACGAACCAACGGAGCCGGATATACGGGAACCGGACTCCCCGTAAACAATGCCTTATGCGGATATCCAAAGATCTCCGCCGTATTAACGCCGTTTTGAAGTCACCCCCAGAAACCGGATCGTTTCGTTCGATCCGGATCTCGATCGTTCGTAGGCGATCTTTCTCCCGCCGCTTGAGAACGGTGTCCTGGGGCCGCGTCGGGCCGCCATGTTGGAGTTCCGTTCTTGCGTCGGGCGCCTTCTCGTAGACGGGGGGAGGGGGGAGGTAGGGGTGGTAGGGGGAATATTTGTAGTCCGAATCTTTATTGATGAATCCTAGTTGAAGTCTCCCGAACAGTGGGACGGCCGGATTTAATCCCATTTTCCCGGGATTACTGACCCGGCGAGACCATCACCGGGTCTGTTCCTAGGAGAGAGACAGGCAGACAGAGAGTGAAACATAGACAGAAATTGAGAGAGAGAGAGAGAAGAGAGAGAGAGAGAGCGTGAGAGAGAGAGAGAGAGAGAGAGAGAGAGAGAGAGAGAGAGAGAGAGAGAGAGAGAGAGAGAGAGAGAGAGAGAGAGAGAGAGAGAGAGAGAGAGAGAGAGAGAGAGAGACAGACAGACAGACAGGCAGACAGACAGACAGACAGACAGACAGGCAGACAGACAGACAGACAGACAGGCAGACAGACAGACAGACAGACAGACAGACAGACAGAGAAAGGGTGTAGAATAGAGGACGAAAAGGGGAAGAGAATGGATAGAGGGAGAGAATTATCAGGGGGAAAGCGCCAAGCCTTTACGACTATATAGCACTGGGAAAGGGTCAGGATAAGGATCTGGAATAGGACGGTGGGGGAGGAGGAATGGTGCCTAACCACTTGGACGGTCGGGGGATTGAACACCGACCTGCATGAAGCGAGACCGTCGCTCTACCGTCCAGCCCAAGTGGCTGGGGCAAGAATGGGTGGAGTAATGAGGTGAGAGAAACAAGGGAATGACTGAAGGTCAGGAGAAGAGGAAGGGGAGGGAGAGAAGGCGACGGGATGAGAGGAATGAGGAGAAGGGAGTGAGAGAGGTGAGGTGATGAATGAGAGGGAAGAGGTAATGGGATGAGAGAGAGATTCCTTCAGCTTCTCCCTGACTCACTCTCTGTTACTCACGTGAGTCTCTCACTCACACAATAGCCCATGAAGTATTCATGACTCATATATTGTATACAATATCACCTTATCACCCTATATATGTGTGTGTGTGTGTGTGTGTGTGTGTGTGTGTGTGTGTGTGTGTGTGTGTGTGTGTGTGTGTGTGTGTGTGTGTGTGTGTGTGTGTGTGTGTAATACATACCTGTGCTTTATTAAATCACACTGGGAGTCAGGTGTGTAGCATCACATTGTGTTAGAGAATAATTGTTGAGGTAGATTCTCGGTCGCATCTCCAGAGTTGCTATATTAATCTTCTCCTCCTGCAACTGGCAAGATTGTTCTTACGGTCATAGGAGAACCCAAGCAAGTTAAGGTGCATGTACAATTGTCATTTTTTCATTGCTGTCTGTCAATAAGAGATATGGCGTCTTAAATGATGAAACTCTTGCGTTCCCTCCTCGCAGCTGTTGGTCACTGTAGCTACTGTGTGTTGGTCACTGTAGCTACTGTGTGTTGGTCGCTGTAGCTACTGTGTGTTGGTCACTGTAGCTACTGTGTGTTGGTCACTGTAGCTACTGTGTGTTGGTCACTGTAGCTACTGTGTGTTGTGGTCACTGTAGCTACTGTGTGTTGGTCACTGTAGCTACTGTGTGTTGGTCACTGCACATGGTCTGCATGTGAAGTGACTCTACTCTAATAGGTTTCTCTATCTGTGTTAGACTCTGGGGGGTATGTTGACCCCCAGAGGCCTCCAAGACGTTGTCATTTTGGCAGCTTGATGTATGACATTGCAGATGTCATGTAGGTCTTCCTGCAGGACTTGGCACCCAGTTGATCAGTATTCAACGATCGTGACGTCTTGAGGGCTTGTAATGCTGACGCAACATTTGTGTTCAGATATGGATGTTGTCACGGGCGAAGGAGTTGCAAGGTTTAGTGATAAGATGCATGTCGCAAGGTTTGCAATGACGGTTCTGGACTCTAAATATATACGATGACCTATCATCGGTGTTCAGCAGGAATGTGTTCGAAATCCTTTTTTTGAACGGCTATCATCTGTTGTTCGTAAAAGAGAAGCATCCGTTCAGGAGTGTCCAACTAAGTATAAAATGTCCTGCCTTCATCGCAGCTCCAAATGGCTCAGCTCAGCTGGTCTGTAAGGTCTGTAAGGTATGCGCAGCTGGTCTGTGAAATATGCGCAGCTGGGCTGTGAGGTATGTGCAGCTGCGGCATACCAAGGCTGTTCCTACATTCATCTGTGCAATGGAGCGTAGCAGATGGAGGCCAGTCTCAGGCTCTTTGTGTGTGTGTGTTTCCTTGTTGTGTTATTATCTTAAAGTGTGCAGGAGACAAGACGAGAGAGAGAGAGGAGGCTGGAGCAGGTCGAGACGTTAAGATGCTTTAAGACATGAGGAAAGATTAGTGCAGGTGGAAATTAACAATAATATCAAGTGGACTTCCCATAATAATAATTAATAATTAATACGAGCCGTCCCAGACGCAAAGAGGGCCGTGACGACTGAGACAGATAGGAGAGAGACAGCAAAGTCCTGTCAGGGGTGTCGTGTTTACCCAACAGGTGAGACAGACAAATGACGGGATGCTGCGTCTCTTGCACACCTTGAGACGGGCTAAGAATAGCCGAAGAGAAGGGGGGGGGGGGGAGGGATTAGCGTGAAGAGTTCCTGCTCCTCTACGCTCACTTCTCCTATTGATCTTCCTCCTACTTATCATATTCCTTCTCCTGCTTCTCTTTTATCTATTCCTCCTCCTCTTCCTCCAGAAATAGTGAGAAAACGGTCATTCACAATGAAACATTAATTGCCGTCTTCACTCTACGCATTAGACAGGCCACGAGGAAGGTCCTGTTTACACCGGGGCAGATGAGAGACGTAGCCAAATACTTTATGTTTTGTGAGGAGTAATGGGACCATCAGCGGCCCTTAGGCACCAGCCCCCGGCGGCCCCATACTCACGACTTAGGGCGTATTTTTACAGCGTTCCTATGTGTGTGTGTGTGTGTGTGTGTGTGTGTGTGTGTGTGTGTGTGTGTGTGTGTGTGTGTGTGTGTGCGTGTGTGTGTGTGTGTGTGTGTGTGTGTGTGTGTGTGTGTGTGTGTGTGTGTGTGCGTGTGTGTGTGTGTGTGTGTGTGTGTGTGTGTGTGTGTGTGTGCTTGTGTGTGTGTGTGTGTGTGTGTGTGTGTGTGTGTGTGTGTGTGCGTGTGTGTGTGTGTGTGTGTGTGTGTGTGTGTGTGTGTGTGTGTGTGTGTGTGTGTGCGTGTGTGTGTGTGCTCGTGAACATGATTACATATGTTTTTTGCTAATTTCAAAAAAAATATAAAACTATTATATTTTTAAACGTAGTATCCAACTGTACCACCAAGCTCGTGACTGGCTGTTCATCAACTAATTAGCCAAGTTATTAGATCGGTGATTGATCAGGCGAGCGAGCAGGTAACTATATATAGTTAGGTAGATCGGTCATGTGATTACTAAAATGATCGATCAAACTATTCGTCTGGGAGGTGATCAAATTTTTGGGGCAGGTGATTGACCAAATAATTTGTCAGATTGATTAAATGATTGATCAGGTGATTGATCAAATTATCTGTCAGATGATTGGTCAGATGAGTGACCAAATGACCGGGCCAGTGACTGACCAAATGATCCAAGAGATCACTCGCCTGAGGGCTCTGACTATGACTGAAAGGTCGTGTCTAGTTCGTAATTGGATAGAAGGTTGTTTATTAATGGATAAAAAGGGGGGGGGGGGCAGAGAGACGGAAGGGGCCTCCCCCCCCCCTTCCCCCACTCCCCCCCCCCTCACCCCCTCCCCCCCCCCGGAACCATGACTGACTTATCAACATACAATTAACAAAGGGACCAGTAAATTGCTGCAGGATAACAAGCTGTCTTCTTCATGTTGCATATATTGACTCTTTTCATCTATTGCAACATCTTAATCCCCCCCCCCCCATGTTCTTTATCTCTGGGAGCCTCCATGTCGGTGACCATCCACACCCCACCACAGCTGGTGGCCCAGGTTGGGACGTTCCACCCCCACAGCTGGTGGCCCAGGTTGGGACGTTCCACCCCCACAGCTGGTGGCCCAGGTTGGGACGTTCCACCCCCACAGCTGGTGGCCCAGGTTGGGACGTTCCACCCCCACAGCTGGTGGCCCAGGTTGGGACGTTCCACCCCCACAGCTGGTGGCCCAGGTTGGGACGCCTCAACCCCACAGCTGGTGGCCCAGGTTGGGACGTTCCACCCCCACAGTTGGTGGCCCAGGTTGGGACGTTCCACCCCCACAGTTGGTGGCCCAGGTTGGGACGTTCCACCCCCACAGTTGGTGGCCCAGGTTGGGACGTTCCACCCCCACAGCTGGTGGCCCAGGTTGGGACATTCCACCCCCACAGCTGGTGGCCCAGGTTGGGACATTCCACCCCCACAGCTGGTGGCCCAGGTTGGGACGCCTCAACCTCACAGCTGGTGGCCCAGGTTGGGACGCCCCAACCTCACAGCTGGTGGCCCAAGTTG